CTGCTTGTCCACGAGCAGTCTTCTCCTGGCCATACACGTTATGATCCAATTGCCTGATGCAAGAATAATTTTTGATATTCTGTTTATTGTTTCCACTGTAATTCTGATCGCCTTCATCTTTGGTGTACGAAACCAATCAATTGGATAGGTTGGAGGATTACCATCGCCTTCCATCCCAATTGAATGGTGGTTTCATCCAAGCCATCGGGCAGCTGCAGGTTGAGGTACATTGTGTCGCTTCAAGCGAACGTTTTGGTCTTCTGATTGTTTAAAATGATTGTATGGAAGGTCAGCCTGGGCACCATTGCATTGAAGGTCAGCCTGGGCACCATTGTATGGAAGGTCAGCCTGGGCACCATTGTATGCAAGGTCAGCCTGGGCACCATTGTATGCAAGGTCAGCCTGGGCACCATTGTATGGAAGGGCAGCCTGGGCACCATTGTATGGAAGGTCAGCCTGGGGACCATTGTATGGAAGGGCAGCCTGGGCACCATTGTATGGAAGGTCAGCCTGGGGACCATTGTATGGAAGGTCAGCCTGGGGACCATTGTATGGAAGGGCAGTCTGGGCACCATTGTATGGAAGGTCAGCCCGGACACAGATGAGAGTAGGGACAGAATTAGCCTGGACCGAATAGCTGACTTGGGAGGCTACTGCCTTTCCACTGCGCTTACAGCTAAAAAAAGAGCAATGCCGTGAGAAAAAAAAAGAAGAGATGTCTAAAGTAAATGAAGTCATTAATTAATTCCCTGCCGTCAGTGTTATTTAATTTTCTGAACGTGAAGAAAGCGCGTTCCCTGATTTATTGGTAGGGACACAGCAGGGTACGATTCGTACTATATACTCACTCTGCGGGAATGCAAACACAACTAGCAAGCGGCATGGTGTCTCGCAATGAGTGTTTTCTCCAAATAAGCTTCGTACGCCTCTCCTACACTCTTCAGGATCCGTATTTAATGAAGCCTTTGATTTGGCCACCCAGTGAACCAGCCGAAGCAAATGAGTCAGTTTGCGAAGACTGAAGGAGTTAATCTGGCTTGCTGCCGTTCAGATTAGCGCCCCGTACTGTTCCATTGCTTAACCCCTTTGTTTCCCAAGTAGATTTTGACCTTTTGGGGCGACTAGCCTATTTTAAGTCCTCGTGCTTGATGCCCCGTGCGGTGAGAATATCGACCGACACTGCAGCAGAGAACTAGGAGTGCACACTTGTGCGTGTTCTTAGTTGTCAGACCGCGCTGTTGAATTGACAGATTATTTATAGAGTTATAGTGAACTTAATTAAAGCATACTGACACTGCAAAACCTGGCCTGAGAGTCAAAGATATCTGAACATAAGGGGTTACCCATTTTTATGGCCACTTGGAGAATTCAGCTATATATATATATATAAATGCGACGCCTTCCATAGGTGGGGTATAGAATGAAGGCCTAGAGGGGCTGTAGCAACATTATAACATGAGCTGGTGGACCTACAGGTCAGCTTGAGCTGCTTGAGTTCCATTATATTCATTAATATAGTACCGGCATCTTCCATGGTGGGGTAGGGAATGATTGTCTATAGGGACTGTAACAACATTATGGCATGAATTGGTGACTGTAAAGGTCAACTTGAGTTCCACTATGATCATTGTTATAGCACTGGCATATTCCATTGTAGGGTACAGGAAAGTGGTCTACAGGGAGTGTAACAACATTATGGCATGAGCTGTTGGCTCTACAGGTCAACTTGAGCTGCTTGAGTTCCACAATGATCAATATTATAGCACTGGCATCTTCCATGGCGGGGGTACAAAATGAGGGCCTAGGGGGACTGTAACAACATTATAGCATAAGCTGGTGGCTCTACAGGTCAACTTGAGCTGCTTGAGTTCCACTATGATCATTATTATAGCACTGTCATCTTCCATGGCGGGGTACAGAATGAGGGCCTAGAGGGGCAGCAACAACATTATGGCATGACCGGTCAACTTGAGCTGGTTGAGCCACCATGCTGTACATATGACATCCTTCATGGTGGGGTATAGAATGAGGGCCTAGAAGGGCTGTTATAACATGAGCTGGTGGCTTTACAGGTCAACTTGAGCTGCTTGAGTTCCACTATGATCATTATCATAGTACTGGCATCTTTTGACACTGCAAAATCTGGCCTGAGATTCAAAGACATCTGGTTATGAAGGGGTTACACATTTTTAAAGGGAAATCATCTGCTTATGTTCCATTTTATATATATGACATCCTTCATGGTGGGGTATACAATGAGGGCCTAGAAAGGCTGTTATAGCATGAGCTGGTGGCTGTACAGGCCAAGCTAGCCACATGCCTGTTGTTCAGGTTGGCAGCTCATGTCATTAACTCTTTTGTTCCCAAACTATGTTAAACTTTTTTTATGATAAAGAACCCACATTTTTATGGTGCCATTGCTGTGAGACTGCAGCCATCTGTGGTCCTTGTGGATTTCATAGCACAAGAGAGGTCTAAGGTTCTAAGAGAGGTCCGTACAAAGTGAGGAGGATGCACAGGGACCAAAGCAGTGATTGACCGTAATCAGCCACCAATCAGAAATCAGCCTTCATGACTCCAACCATTCTAACCCACCTGAAATGTTCCGATTACCTCCTAGGGCTTCCTGCACAGCACTGCTCCTTGTACCTACTCATTAAAGTGTCATTCCACCTGAAAAATGACTTTGCAGTTATGTGCAACCGCAGATATTTTTAGGGAATTGTGGTGGCGGGCTCCCAGTTCCGTCTTTGTTCCCATCATTTTGTTCCTTCACCAGAGGAGCTTACACTCTATTGCCCCCCAACACAGCCACACGCACGCCCGCGCACAGACAAATCCACACCTTTCCAAATACAATGTTATCATATTAGATTGCACTGGCAGCAGGCTACCTCACCTAAATCAGGAAAATAGAAAGGAATGGACCGGAATTTTCCATCTGGTTGACCTAACAGCGAGACGCATTGTAACTCTGCGCTAATGCGATTTTCACCTCCTGCGCATTCGCCTCATCACAATCATGATATATTTCTACAATAAGATGTACTTCTTCATTGTAAGTAAAGAGTTCCTCGCGTGTGCGATTCTGCTTTCCCATTGTACAATGTATCGTTACTTCTTCTCATTTAAGACACCAACATATACCGTAGCTCTGTACAGTTTGGATTAACGCAAGCCTTAACGTTATATGCAGCCTCTAAACCAAAAAATTATTATGTGAACCTTCATAAGAAAAATATTGACGGTGTTTTTTGCGTTATTTCTTCTTTATCGGGTCATTACAAATATACAGAAACAGACAGAAGAAAAGAACAAAAGGTTTTTTTTTTTTAATTTGCACTCCGACGGAGTAACTGAGATATAATTAATGAACCGGATTCGGAGAACTCCAGAATTTCAACTCCCAGTCATCCCGTGGGGAATTGGGTCTATTCTACTCTAATTACACCTAAAGATGCTGCATTGCAAATAGCTTGAGAGACAGCGGCGCAACATCATTTCAGAGAGGCAGCGGCCGTGCATCTGTATGAGATGTACATATTTATCCACTGCAGGCTCAGAAAATTACGAGCTGATTTAATGCGTTTGCTATCATGTTCTGTCTGGGAAGCTACGTGCAGTGTCCCTTATGCTTGAGATAGAAATCAAATGCTGTTTTAAGGTGGATCTAAACCCAAGAAGAAAGTGTGATCTATTGCAGCTTGCCAGACCTTAGATGTGGTGGCTGTATTAGTTTTAATTTTCTATTTTCTTTCCCTTTGATCTGGTGATCCTGCCAGTAACACACTTTCTGTCTTAGGGTGCCCATACACCTGCCGATTATCGTACGGTAATAGCGGGAAATCCCGCGATCGTACGATAATGCTGCTGTCCTAGGGTGGCTATGCAGCCTACACTCTTTTGGGAAGGAGTGCCACAAACTTTGACCCAACAAGGTGAAAGAGCGTTCAAGAGGTCAGGTACTGATTTTTTTTGCTACAGAACCAGCAAGCCCACTGGGGATACTTCACAAATAAAGTACTTGAAGGGTGAAAGGTGCCATAATTCAACCCAAAATAACCCACTCATACAGTATATAAGTTGTGACTGACCCTTTTAAATAATTGTGCAGCGTTGGTAACAGACTAGCAAATAGGAACCGACAATCTATATTAAAGTTACTCCAGCCCAGCTCCTGGCAACCAGTGAAATTGCTGGTTGTCAGGAGCTGAGTAGGACACTGGCAAGAGCATCTCAGGTTGCTAAGAGCCGGGCAGGGAGATGTGTATGGCCCTGACCATGGACCTCTTCATTGCATTGATTTGTGAGGTCAGGTACTGACTGGATGGGAAGACCTGGTTCACAGTCGGTGTTCAAGCTCATTCCAAAGGTGTTCAGTAGGGTTGAGGTCAAAGCTCTATGTAGTCCATTCAAGTTCTTCTACACCAAACTGGTCAAACCATGTCTTATTGGACCTGGCTTTGTAACAGGGGCACAGTCATGGTTTAACAGAAATGGCCCCTTCGCCAAGATGTTACTACAAGGTTGGAAGCCCACCATTGTCTACTATGACTTTGTATGTTGTATTATTAACAGAACCCTTCACTGGATATACCTGAACTCAGTCATTTAAAGAGGGGCCTATATATTTGGACAATGCAATGCGTTTCCCTGACTCACTCAATACCTACCCATTTGGACATTTTTCAATGGGGTGGAAGAAATGTCTGTCCAAAGACAACAGTTGCCCAGTGGGTTTTGTTTTGTTCAATCACAATATCCAGAGACTGTAAAAGGCGCAACCTGAGGGATAGGTGTCTTTTCTCAGCTATGGTAAAGATGTGACTTTGTAATATGGTCATTTGTCACTGCTGGCCACCCACGGTCTGACCATAGACCACTTCTCTGCCACTTTTAAAAAGCACTTTGTACATTGGTGCATCTCAGAATGAATAATGACAATATAAGACTCAAAGTCAGCTGCTAATCTCACACTCGGTTGTTTCTGTGTCTTTCAGATCTTAGTAAATGTGGGCAACTTTTTCACTTTGGAATCGGTGTTCGTGGCCCCAAGGAAAGGAATCTATAGCTTCAACTTTCACGTCATAAAGGTTTACCAAAGCCAAACAATACAGGTAAGCAAAACTTCTTATATATGGCATCCTTGAAGTAGACCTTCCACCCCAGCTCCTAGGCGAGGATGACATCAACCTCCTTCCAGCCAGACCTTGAGGAATGTGGAGTAGCCAAAATCTCAGGAGAAGCCAAGATGTTTTAACATCTTCTCAGGAGATGTGGGCTACCTAGTGATCCCAGGGATTTGGTCGGTAGGAGGATGACTTCACCCCCTGCACTACAGAAGTCAGGGAAAGGTGAATAAACGGACCTTGCCTGAAGTGGCATGTTCAAAGCTAAAAGTGTCTTTATAATTTTGTCCAGAGTAGGGAAGGGATATAGTCCCATGTTAGTTTTAGTTTTGCTGTCTGAGTGCCACTGGGGAGAAATTGAAATCACTTAAATCAAATTGTAAAAATCAGATGGTGTTGTATGAAACAATGACTAGAGGAGATCCCATTATATCTAAGACACCGTAACATGAGTGCTGTACAATCCTACACATTGTTCTCTATGGCAGCCAGTAGGTTCGTACAGTCAGAATCATTATGTGTGCTGAGTAATCCTACAATCTCTTATGGACACTCACCATTGGATTGTCCAGGCTTCAATTATGTGTGGGGTGACCTTGTATGAAAATGACAACTTAAATTGTATGAAAAGGCTGCATCAGGTGCAATGTGCTTTATAATTCAGTCACGGGTGGATACAGATGGATTGAATTACCCAATGGCTTCTCATATTGCTTTAGCCAATGGCTTCTCATATTGCTTAGGAACTGTGGTGCTGAGATCGAATTGCTGGTGTTCTCAGCTCCTCCCCCTCCAAGATCATTACCTAGCTGAGATTATTTTCAAAAAGCTCCACCTTTTATCATTAAACAGCCATCACTGGGCTCCCATCAGTGACTCTTCCCAGGCTGAGATGATGTAATTAGTCTGCTGCAGGCAGGAGGAAGCATTTGTACATTGGTACAATGTGGACAATGTCCTGGTGTTCTATCAAAGTTTGTGACTCGGTAGGAATGTGTGACTGGTGACTTGGTCACACACTTTAACGTAATCCCGCCCAGTTTTTGGGCGTTTGAATATGTGACCGACAAAAGGTGAAGAATTCCAAAGCTCTCTCACCTGTTCCAGAGCAGATTGGCATCGCAGACGGTATGTGCAGGAGGACCGATCTGCCCTGGACCAGCTGATCGGTCCTGAAATGTCACTTCTATCCGACTTTGTGGAATGTGAGATCGCACTCACAAAGTCGGATAGAAGTGACATTTCAGGACCGATCAGCTGTTCCAGGGCAAATCG